ACAACAATATAATCAAGGGTACGTGTGCACAGAACCGCTTACTTGTTATTGGCATGAAGCTCCGAAATTTTCTGGAGCAACTGCTCAGTTGGGGATCGGACAAATTCGAATTTCTTCAGGTAGTTAGTATTGCGGTGCAGACTGGGATCATAGTCACCGACCTCGGATTGGGCCACGAAGGATCCCAGCAGGGCCTGAGTCACCCAGGAGCAGGGCAGTTTCCCAGTGAATACGTCTTGACGTACCTGAAGCACCAACTGATACCGTGTGATCTCGTCTTGCAGCATCGCGGGTTCGGGTGGGTAGAACTTGAATTGGAAGAAGAATTGCCAGTCGGCGGTATCTACATTCGTTGAGAGGGCAAGGATTAGTCAAGCAGAATCAAAAGCAGGAATCGATTGGACGGAAAAATTACCCGAACCACCCATAGTTTGGCAAGACTGTCGTGTAGGGCCACCTAAATATACATTACCCCGCCCAACTGTCTTACGGAATTGGTGGGGAAACATTTAATTCTTGGTTAATGAATGTAAATGAATATGTAATTGTGTCGACTGTGGCCAAAAAATATTAAATTAAAGCCACATATATGAGCTAAATAGAATAAACTCCAGCAACATAAACTCCTGTTGCCTATTGATGGAAATTTCACCAAATGTTGACAGAATTTAACGAAAAAAGGGAAATTCGACCTTATATTGGCGGACTTTAACAGAAAAAGGAAAGTCGTGCTACTGCAAAATGTGAGAGTTGGTTATTATTATAAGTCAAAGACAAGTAGTATCTATAAAGACAGTCCTACACATATTTTTAACTGCTGGAGTTATCTCAGAAGATGGCCGATTACCATGGGAAGAAATATGCAAAAAATTCGCGATACGTCTGCAGAAGGTAGCGTGCGGTAACGTAAGCGTCACAACTAATTGTAGTGCAGTATATTGTTGCTTTTTATTTCCTCAGAAATTAATCTTCAACTTGGAATAAACCAATCGGAAGCAAGCTATATAGGCTCAGTTTATAAGACTAGTTGGGTCGAATTACATCAGCCACAGTGGGATGATCATGAAATATCTATAAATAGGCAGCATGTCGTGAATATGTAATGACCCTGTAGCGCTTTTCACCTCTGCCGCCACACCAAGCTTGAGGTCACGTGACTACAAACCTTGGCCCACCTCTGGGTCAGCCAATCACAGGTGTCTAACGCTCAACCTTTTGCGGCTGCTAGCAAGTGCGCCTGCCTTAGCTTGCCTATGCCAATCCGTTCTGGCTAATCGTCTCCTGTGGCTGATTCACGCTGCACCTCACTGCGATGACTGCTATGCTTATACACTTCGGATGCGAGTGGTTATGCAATCGTCCGACAGGCAAGTTTCTCTAAACTATTCTCCACTATATCTGTATAGAATACACTAGTTCTTCTACCTGGAGTTTCACTTCTTCTCTTGCCGCACGGAAATGGGTTTGAAGATCGCGGCAGCAAGGGTTTTACCTACTTACTTAACCCATTGCGTAACCCATGCATATGTGACATAACAGGGCATAGCTAAGACCTTTCAGCTGCCAACTATGCAAATAGTGTCTACTTTTAATAAGCGATTTACTTGTTCGTTCCATCAAAACATAGCACATTAGATGACTAATAGTTTTGGTTTTTTCTCAAGTGCAGTCTTCTTTCTTGAGACTGTTTCAGGCAAGAGTCTGGACGGCCGGGATCTGGTAATCTGATTGGGTCTTTAACTGGCTATTGATCTTAATTTAATGCGAAGAGAATAGGCGTTCAGAATACTGAAATAGTTATGCGCTACGGGAGACTATTTTCGTAAAGCCCCACCCTGTTGTTTAAAGTCCACGAACGCTCAGAAAGCTATTTATTAGTAGTTTGCCAGGAACATGTGACCTTTACAGATGATTTGGGGAAAAATGGCATAGTCTGCAGGTGAAGGTAAGGATTCCTTAAAAATAACACTGTAGTTTACTAAACACAACTACTTATTTAGTTTAATTTTCAGTTTAGTTATTTGTTAGTTATGTTCAATCTTAGTTGAGTTTGCACGGTGCAATCTGTGCATGTATCATCCTCATCTGCGCATGTCTTACACTATCCTACGATTATCTATGAGTAGAGATTCTCGACAGAATCAGAAACCTCAGGAAAATAAAACTCTTGTTCCAGTGATCGCTTCTTCTTCTTCTTCTGAACTGCTTCCTGGAACTCGCATATTCACTTCTATCGGCACGCCTTACTCAGTTAAATATTTAATACCTGAGAGATCGAATTCTGCTTAAATTTTACCGTGTGTACATTTTCTTTGCCACTATAACGTGACACGCTGATTTCCATCGCCATTGAATAGAAATGGCTTCCTATTAGGCCTAGCTATTTATGTTAAGCAGACTGGAACAGATTCAGTAGGTCGTCGGTCGACTAACAGGAAGCTGAACTTTCAGCTAAATATCTAACCGAATTTTTTATAGAACCGGTGGTTAGGGGGCGATTGGCTGCTGCTTATTGGTCACTAAAAGTATTTTTCGCAGCATCGCAGGCTTTTATTTCCCCAAAATAGCCGAGAAACGCCTCGAATTATATGCCAGTCAGGCTGTCGCGATCGACGTTGGCAACTGCTGACTCACAAGAAGGGCAAAATCGTGAGTTGTGCGTATATGTCTTTGAAGGTGAATACATTCTTTGGGGAAGACACTTTACGGCGTAAATTTCCGAGGCTTGTTCTCCAGATCGTCTTCAGACGCAGAGTAAAGTAAGACTGACAAGAAACAGCTAAAATCGTGTGTGCACAAGAAAAATCGATAATATAATGGAGTTTGCACCAGTAGGCCATCGTTGCGTGTCTCATCCCGTGCACATTGGTTCGTGCCTTTCCCGCCATAGACTTTCGTAGGCGGCATCTAACTCAATATGGTTGATACAGAATTTTTAGATATGTATATAGATAATCAGATTTAGACAGAATATAACTTACTCTATACCCATACGTACCCTATGTAGGTAGCAACTAAAAGCCAAGCCAACCTAATATGCGTGAATGGCAAAGCGAAAAGCGTGTCTACACGGGCAACACACGACCTGAGCCCCAACTCCGCACACACGAGACTTCAGTTGGCGGGACCGTCTCGGAGGTTAAACAGATGAGAGTATGCGCAAATATTCGAGGTCCAGATATAATATTGCTTCCATCAACCCCGGAAGAGGAAGAAGGGGCGATTTTTGAGACCAAGTTATATTTATGCTGACGGGCGAAGGAAGATACGCGGGGCCAACAGCCGCGAGCGAAGATGGTGGAAACGCTCAGAAGGCACAGGAACGACGTGACACATCGCATAGACGCGCCCATGAGGGCGAGAACAATTCAAACAGTCACCAGCAATCGATCGACGTGCGAGAATCAGGCACAGTTATAACACGCGTCTGGCGGTCAGACACACTCATTTGACGCCAACAGAAAAACAGACACTACGGTCTGACGATGTAAGCGAGAATGTTTTCGAAACGTCAGCTTAAATACAACTTGGTCTCAGAAATTGCCCCTTCTTCCTTTTCCGAGGATGATGAAAGCAACAGATGAGAGTGAAAGAAGGGCTACGTTAAAAGCAATAAGACAGATTTAACACGTTAACTCTCTCGAATTATACAGACGTCTTTAGATTATAGCTATTCGGTTGCATTTTGAGGCTGGATGTGAGCTCCAAACAAATGTATCCCTCACGAATGGAGACGAATATTCCATTTCCAGTTGTATTTAGGGGTACTGAAGTGGATCTCATAATAAAATATGCGAAATCGAGACTATTGACCTCGCTTCCATGTGATCCGGTTAACTTATGAGGTCATAAATTCACCCTTGATTAAACGACGCACATTAAGGGCACTCAACGACCTTTTCAGCTGTAGGAAACACGTGCACCCGTCAGAGCACACAGGTGTCTGACGCACCGAATAGAGACGCCAAGTTTAGCAGTCTACTCTTGCTTAACAATCGACATACGGGGGGATTTCTTATTGGTTGTAATCAGCCATTCAGTAGTGACAACACGTGTGGCAGGAACCAATCCCGACGGAGAGTAAGGCCCGTCGCTAGCACCATGAAATTTGCTGTCAAGGTAAATGCTACCAGTCAGCAGTCTCAAGGCAACGAGTGTTGCCATTCTCAAAGAAGGGCCGAAGGGTCGTAGAGGGATCGAAAAATGGGTGGCTGAGTAACATACTACTATATAATAGCCCACACCATGGAATCCACTAAGTTTTCCTATTCTCTACCAAAAGTAGAACAAAGGGCGGAACATCGGAAGAACCGAGCAGGGCTTAGGACGATAAGCTTATTATGTCTTTAATG